CCCCCCCCCGCCGCCTCTTCACTGCCTCCGTGTAACCGCAGTCATCGTGGTGACAATGAGCTCCGTTGGCATTGCCCCCCGTCTCGCTGTCTTCTTTCACATCCCGAAAAACGCTCGACAACATCTCACGAGCCAGCCCCGTGTGCTTCGTGTCGGCTCGGCTCAGGGTTGGCCCTGGCTCAAGCGAGCCGACTCGAAGCCCACGCTTCACTGGAGCCGGCTCTGAGACTGGGTCCGAGCCACGCTCAGGATTTCGATTGAGCTGAGCCTCAACCCCAGGCCACGTTGAGCCCGAGTGTCAGAGGCCGAGTTTAGAGCCCTGACTAAGAACACGGCCCTAGCCCTGTTTTAAAAGCAGGACGCGTCACGGCGATAAGGGAAAGTGGCCGAGTGTCAGCCCAGGGAAGGATCCGTACAAGAGGCCATCCACAGTGGAGATGGAGCGATGGAATTAGATTGTGCGCAAGATGCACTGTTACATCGTCGGACCGTGAGAGATGGTGACGACATGAGGAGGTCTTCATCCACAAGTGGATTGTTCATGGCCGCTGATGATACTTATTGGGAGTTGGAGGTGGCCCGTGACCGATAGCTGGGTCAGATCGCCTAACCGGCACCGCTGAGGGCCTGAGTTCGAATCCGTGTTGCAGCCACTGCTACTCATAGCGTCATCCAAGAAGATTCTCAGGTGTGGCAGCAGCCGATGGGTTCAACCGGGTCATCAAATGGCCGCGCACGATGAGACGCGCAGTGAATTCGGGTTTAGACTTCATTATTCTTAGGGTTTTTTCGGTAAAGTCACGTAGGTAAAAAATTAAAATTAATAAAAAGAAGACGGAAGCTTGTGTTGCCTCCGAAACGTCGTGATTTTTATTTTATTTACTTTTTTATTAATTTTAATTTTTTACCTACGTGACTTTACCGAAAAAAACCTAAGAATATGAATCCTTGCAGTCACGAAAGCTTCAAATCTAGAATTAGACTTCATTAATTATATAATTACACTCCAGCTCTAACAAGAAAACAAAATATGCAGGAAATACGCTTCGTCTTCATATCCGTCCTTTCGTAATAAAATATTTAATTAAGAGAGATGTTACACATCCCATCAATCAACCACACGTCCTTCTGGGAGTGCATCATTCCGCTGTGCGGTGAACGCTTTTCTAGCAAGGTCGTGTGAGCGGAACGCGCATCTCACACGTCGCAATCCACGAGGGATCTTGTGTCTTTGTTGCGTGTCGAACAAGTTTACCAATCATCAGGCGCGTGTGGGGCATAACGACTGAATTCGTCATTGGTAATTGATCGCTGGGTTGGGTCACGTCACGCTCCGTTCAGGTGCGCGTCGTCAATGCCTTCCACCACCCGACACAGGGAATCAGACTGCCAGATTAGTAAGCCGGAGAACGATTCTCACAGCCGATTTTGGCAATTCGTCGGGTGGTGAAGGGTCTCATGACACACAAAAAATCGTACGTGTCGAGTTCGCCGAATTGGCATTTGAGCGGAGAAGATGGGTAGAAACCGCTTGTGAGCCTCTCCCTTAAAGGCACCCGTTCTTCTCCGCCCCGCGTGGGGGCGCAGCAATTGACATCTCTTAAAGGGACCCTGGGCCGGCCACAAACAACGATTAATCACCTCCTTAAACACCCCCATCCCCCCACAACCAATCGCTCCCCCCCAAAGCACACGGTGATTATTTTTTAATTATTCCATCAGTGGGAGCAGGTGCTGTGATACTGTCAGCCGAGATCAAACAAAGCACTCTAATTGGGACTTTACAAACTGGGTCAGGCCAGCCTGGCATAGCCACACGCGTGCACGGCATCGTGCAGAGGAAGATATCTCAGATGAGGATAATCACCATCATCATCATAAGCAACAGCATCATCATCAAACAGCTCCACCTGTCAAGGCTGTCCCAGCTCAGCAAGCCTATCATCGTGTCTCCAGGGTCATTAAAATATGTACCATTTTGTGATGGTTGTGCTGTGGTCATACTGGCCCCTGGCATGTTGAATGTGGAAATCAGACCACTGGCTCAGTGCCGCCTAAGGCGATGACCACCGCTCGTTTCGGCGATATAAGAATAGGAGCATCACAAGAATTGGACTTTGAATTTGGATTCGTCTGAATGCTGCCGTGGTTGAATGGTCCACCCCCACTGGCGATCCAGGGCTCGCTGGGGA